GTTGTACGTGAGCGAGTTGATGTAGGCCGCTAATGATGCAGAGGATGACGCGTCCACTCCAGAGACGTAGTGGTACGAGCCGAGCTGTTACAACATGGTAGGCGGTGGCGTACCTGATCATTAGGATGAGTACTCACGTCTCGCTGCCCACTCCGGCCAGAAGTCTTGAGCACATGTACCAAGTCAGGAGGTCCAAGTTCGCGAAATGTCGCTAGAAGGAGTACGCGTTAAGGCGGCGGCGGAGAAACCGGAAGAGATGGCGACTAACAGAGGCTTTCTGTCCGCGCGACGAGAGACTCTCCGAGTTCAACCTAGGAAGAACTCGTGAGCGTCCGGAGTATCTGCTGGCAAACCGACTTACTTCGAATAACTCCGGGACGTCCTTGAAAGCCGCGTCGGCCATGCTTGTGTGGCCGCTGCGGAGGAAGACGTGGGACGCGACAAGAAACGGATTGAGCTACGTGTATAGCAGTCGAGACTCTGGGTGCCTGCTATAGGCTTAGCTTGGGCGCGTCCGTCTAATAACACCGCCTTTCTTACCCAGGCTTACTCGATTAGAAACCCCCAATAGCGCGCTGTCAAACTCATTCCATAGTGTTCAACAGTTGTCCAAGACCCTGGTCTATGATCGGTCTAAGATGTTCTTCGACCTCTCCCTCGAGCCCGAGATTTAACTAGGCCGTCGACGCGTTTTGTCGACGTTATTGCGACTATGTCCAACATATATCCTACCTGAGTCTGTTTTCACGGCTACATAAGACCCCTAGGAGGTCGTCCGCCAAATTCGCGCTCATCGGAAGGTTTCGTTCCGCTCTACGTCTTCTTCGAACTCCCAGCCACCACCGAAGTTCGAACCCGTTTGCATCCTAAGAGACTTCTCAATACAATATCGGAGGTGCTCGTAACCGGTGTGTACGTCGGACGATCCGCTGAAATATTGTCGACTGAAATCATGCGTTAGGCGTGGTCGAGTCAGTGAGTCATCCCAACGCCTGAAGCATTTATACCGGAGGACGGTCTGCAAGCTTGCATCATCCCCGGCCACCGGTCATGTCTGCCGCATCTACCCCATCTTCTGCATCCGCGTCCTCGTCGCGTTCATCTTCCATCTCTTCCTCGAGTGCCCCCGGTACACCGCCCAACATGCACCAAAATACCATCGATCCTGCAGCCAAGTGGCTGGTTCAGAAGTATGGTGGAACGAGTGTAGGGAAGTTTGCTACCAAAATTGCGGAGGACATCATACCGTGAGTCTACCTATTCGTCGTCTCTTTCTCGTCCCAACCTTTTCATGCTAGTGAATACCTGGATCAGCACAAAGTCGCCATCGTCTGTTCGGCACGATCGGGATCCACCAAAGCGCTCGGGACGACAAATCTGCTCCTGAGAGCGGCCGGCGAGGCACTCAAGCGGTCGAGCAGTATCTCGGAGACCCCAGGGACCATGTCTCCGACGAATGTCCTCACCACAAGATTAACCCAGTATCAGTCGCCATTCACGAGTCCGGGGAAGTCCTCACCAAAGTCGGAGTCCATTGCCCTGTCCTTGGGTATGACGTCCATCACCGAGGCACCGGCTTCTTTCAACGCAACGGTGGACGTTATTCGTTCCGAACACGTCCACGCCGCGCGATCATGTATCCGGAATGCAGACATCTTGAAGGACCTGGAGGCGGAGATTGACCGGGACTGCGAGTCTCTTCGGTCGTTCCTATTTGCGACCCAGGTACGTGCGCCCCTTGCTCCTTTGTATGCCCTCGCTCAATCAGCCGATGTGCGTCAAGATCATCGACGAAATTTCTCCGAGGTCAAGAGACAGCATCATTGGATTCGGCGAGCGTCTTGGATGTAAAGTTATGACAGCCATCTTGCGGGATAAAGTCAGTACCTGTCGCTTTGTCTGCTGATGGAGATCTGAACGTACCACCTCCAGAATATCGATGCCGAATTCGTCAGCTTAGAGAACGTCATCCCCATTGCCGAGTCAGAGAACTTCTCAGACTCGGACACTCTTGGACAGGAATTCTATGATCGTGTTGCAGAGCTTGTGGCAGAGAGGATAAAGCAGTGTGGTAACCGCGTCCCCGTAGTCACAGGTATGCTCCCACGTCCGTCCGCATGCACCCGCAATGCTTACGGCTCTCCTAGGGTTCTTTGGGCCTGTGCCTGGGTCCCTTCTCAGGCAAGTTGGACGTGGATACACCGACCTTCTGGCAGCACTCCTGGCCGCCGGGCTTGGTGCCTCAGAGCTCCAAATCTGGAAGGAAGTTGACGGAATCTTCACCGCGGACCCTCGTAAGGTCCCTACCGCGAGGCTGATCCCGATCATTTCACCAGAAGAGGCCGCTGAGTTGACGTACTACGGGAGCGAGGTCGTCCACCCATTCACTATGGATCAGGTACGAATTCCAGCGTGGTACATGTGCGGGGGGACGGCACGGGCGATTTGGAGCTTACAGGAACACGCACAGGTTATCCGACGAAGAATACCCATCCGTATCAAGAACGTTGAAAACCCTACGGGCGGAGGCACCGTCATACATCCGGACCATGACGTTGATGCCCACGCGCTTCCAAACGGGGCGGATGGGTTCCCTCCTGTCATCCCTACAATGTCGAACTCGAAGGCCTTCCTGCCCCTAACCTCACCGACCTTTGACAAACACCATCAGGTCCGGCAACCGACAGCGGTGACCATCAAGGAGCACATCATCGTCCTTAACGTCAACTCGAACCGCAAGAACGTCTCCCATGGGTTCCTTGCTTCCATCTTCGGCACACTCGACCGGTATGGTGTCGTCGTGGACCTCATCAGTACGAGTGAGGTGTACGTCAGTATGGCCATCGAGGAGAACCTCGACAAAAAGGTGCTCGACCGCGTCGTGCGGGAGCTCAAGAAGATCGGCACGGTGCGTACCCGTCTCTGCCGTTGAATGCTGCATCAATCTGGGTAGGCTATTCGGCATTTACTGAATTGGCGTCGCCTGTAGGTCTCCGTGAGCCGCGACATGGCGATCCTCTCGCTTGTCGGGAAGTCTATGCGCAATATGATCGGTATCTCCGGGCGCATGTTCACCACGCTGGGCCAGGGCAATGTGAACATCGAGATGATCAGCCAAGGCGCGAACGAGATTAATATCTCGTGCGTCATCGACGGGCGCGACGCCGTCAAGGCCCTCAACCTCATACATCAGAGCTGTCTCCAGATCAAGCCCGAGGGGGAGCGAGGGAGAGGTGCGTACCGCCGCTATTGTTCTTCACGGCAGCCTCGTGGACGTGTAGCTGACTGCTCGTCATCGTAGTCGGGCCATGGTTGTTCTGATTCCTGGGTCGTAGTACCTAGTTCTCTCCGGTTCCAACACGGAATCTGAAGCTGACTCTGGTTCCAACACCGGGTTGATTCTGGTTCCAACACCAACACCGGACGCGACTCTGGTTCCAACAACCAGACATGTTGCTGGTTCCAACACCAGAGCAGTCCTCGGTTCCAACACCGGAATAGCCATAGTCCCTCGGTTCCAACACCGGACGAGTCCCCTCAGGTTCCAACACCGGAGGCGAACTGTGGGCGTGCTGGGACCGCGCAGGCTGGCTCAGTTCCAGCCCGTGCTCTACTACATCAGGGGTCCTGTCCATGTGTCGTGCGAGAAGTCAAAATCAGACAGGATTGTATTGTTTAGCGGAAAACATGCTGTCGAGGCCGTCCCTCGGCGGTTATCTCATTCGGAAGTGCACCTCCCTGCGCAGAACCAGGGCGATATCTGGGCGATATGAAGCGGTGGGCGGTCCTTCGCGCGGCTGTCCCTCCGCGCCAGCCGCCGTATGGTGGTCTCCTGACTTTGGAGGTGCGCCGCTGGGTGACCAACGCAGTCTCGCGGTTCTTGAATGCAGGGATGCAGGAAGCCGAGTGCCCTGAAGACGTAAGTCCTGGCTTCTGCGATGAGCGATTCGTGCCGTGATTTGCGGACGAGGTATGAGTGACGTGATGTGCCTCTGGTGGCTCGGTCTGTCGGCCCTGTGGGAGCGGCAGGTACTGCACGTATGTATGGACCTGGGATGCCTCTCAGTCTGATACATGCGGACGTGTGCGTGAGTGTGTGCCTTCTCGTCATGCGTGGGCGTTGAGGCTCAGACTGGTTATCGTCTCCCGCAGGGCTCCGTCGGCGGTGTTGATTCATTAATAATCGCAACCCTCCCTCACAGTCGACATGGGCGCATCCGACCTCAGCTGGTCTTTCTTGGAGAACTCCCGGACGACTCGCCTACGCTCTGAAACACGCATCTGCTCGTCGAGCACGAGGCTCCTGCGCGCCCCCATATGTTCCCGTCACAGCCACCCTATGTTCGTTCCCTTAGCGGCGACGGAGGTACACTCACCGATCCCCCGTGGACGGCCATCTCCTCAACCAGCAGCCCTGTACAGGCTACGGTGGGAGTACGAGAATATGCACACGCGACCCCACCGGTTGGGGGGGCCCTTGCCCACCCTCCGTGTTGATTCGTCGTGGATAGATTACTTGGTGCCTGCACGTTTACGTATGCGATGGTATACTCTGTGTGACTCCGTAGCACGTTTGTGGGCGGCTTGACCTCGAGTGCAGGGCATAGACACGGCGACACTAGAACCACTGCAAGGAAAGCATCCTTTCCCGGGATAGCGAAGGTTAGATATTGGATTACTGAAAGTAAGGAATTCTTCACACCTTGCCTGTAACGTCCAGCCATTCCACACTGCCCCAATGAGACCTTCATCGAAGAATACCTGTTCCAACAAAGTGATTCATCTGAACTCGTGGAACTGAACTAATATTTCTGCAGGATATTGACTAGGAAGAAAGGATGTGGCTGCTGCAGTGACTTTTGGCCATAGGCACAAGAAATTTGAGCACAGAGCAGAGAAAAATGGTGTATGTATACCCTATGGTTTCGTGGATTCCCTACAATGTCATCCTCGAGTGTGGTTAAGCTGATAAACGTAGAAAAAAAACAGTAAAAAAAGATTGACCACCGCAGGACTCGAACCTGCAACCTTTTGGTTGCCCTAACCCTAATGGGTTGAGTAGCCGTTAAGCGATCGAAGCCAAACGCGCTACCATTGCGCCAGGTAGCCATGTTGGCAAACCAGCCCAAAACTATATCCCATGTATCAAAGGCTGACTTCCTGAGTCTACCATGCAGTCTATTGTCAAGGTACATCAGCGCAGCGAAATGTAGAGGTTGGGGTAGCACAGTTCCCTTCTTGACATCGCCGACAGGTCTTCGTGAGGCGATGTTGACCAGAAGCTGTGTGCGGGCTCTCCTTGTCCTGATGAGCTTGACGTTGACTGGACGGGCCTCATGGCAAACAAGCCGCGCCCAAGGTAAGCGACTGGGCGGAACGAGCCCAGAGTAAGGTTTGGAGGGTGCTTCGGTGCCTGACTCACAGGCACGGCCCTCGTGAGGCCGCCAACGGGTGATAAACTTCGCTGGGCTGGCTGGTGGCGGAAGACGGGGAGGATGCCGGACGCTGGACGAGCATGCACGCACCTTGGTTCTCACATGGACTCCGCAGACGGAGCAATCAGAGGCGATCAGCGGATGGGCAAGGTTCGAGCGGCATGGGGAGCAGATGGGCCGCCTGGCGATGTGTGCTCGCAGCTGTGCACACCGTTGCTGCGTCTGGCTGCGTCGGGGGTAGCGAGGGGGGCATGGCGAGAAGATGCGAGCGAGCCTGGGAGTCGGACGAGCATGTGCTGGTGGGTGTATGCGCAGAGAGAGCCGGGCACAGGCAGTGCTGATGGTGGGCGAGGTGGGCCAAGGTGAAATTCCGGGCAAGCCGCCGACGACGCGCTGGGCGCCTGTGCTACTGTCGCGAAGTCGGCGCCTGCTGGCCCGGATGTCCTTGCAGCGAGCGTTCATATGTCTGTCATCTTTTCGCTCTCCGCATCTCCTCCTCCCTCTTCTTCCCCTCGCGTCCCCCCCATCTCCTCCGCGCCCACCCACGCCCACCATGCCCGTCTCCCGCGACCCCCCAGACCGCGACCCGCTTGCTGCCGCCCTTCGCCCGCCCATAGACGAGACAGAGGAGGAGAAGGCATCCCGCATTGCCGAGGAGGAGGCCGCACGGCGCGTCAGTCACGCCATAGACGAGGCCATTCGCCAGGAGAAACAGCAGCGCAAGAAACAGAAGCTTGTCCGTCTTCTCCTCCTTGGCCAGAGCGAGTCAGGTCCGTTCCATCTGTCTAGACGCGTCCCAGTGCCCTGTATCAATCCCTTCTACCCCAGGCAAATCCACCACACTACGACGTGAGTCATCTTTCATCGTGTTCAGCGCGGCAGTTCGGTGCACGCATGCGGCCGTGTTCCTATGATTCACGGATCGGCATCCACGCAAGTCGTCATGGAAGTCCTTCTCTCCGTCCTTCTATGAATTATGTGATCGGACAACACGCCTCCAGGCCAGTTCTACTAGGCGGCCCCGCACTATGTCCTGCCTTCCATGGGCCGTTCAGCCATCCGCGCACATACCTTCCGTCTTCTCCGTCTTCTCCGTCTTCTCCATTGCTGACCTGTTCTCTATAGAATTCCAGAGACTATATACCCCCAACGCGTTTCGTGAGGAACGAGTGCTATGGCGTGCGGTCATCCAACTCAACATAGTGCGGTCCATCAACTCCATCTTGGATGCCCTCACCGACATCCGCCGACGCGATGTATACCCTTCAACACCCTACACCTCGGATCCTGACTCTGATTCAGAGTCTGAGAACCACATCGCACTTCCGCCACATCTGGAAGAGCTCCGCCGGCGTTTGTATCCTCTCCGACATGTAGAATCTCTGCTCATTGCGAAGCTTGTCCCTCCAAATGAGACTGAAGCCACCACTCTCGGCTATGGTGGGAGCAACAGCGTCAACGGTAATGTTCCCGTCCGCTGGGGTGTGCATCAGCCTCCATCACATCCATTCCAGAACAAGGAGGTATTCGTCCGCCCTGGAGCGCAATGGAAGCTACGAAGTTCTGGCCGCCCCCAGTCCGCCGGCACCACTGGGCAAGAGACCGTGGACGAGTCTCAGGCCGTTCTACACCACTGTCGCGCAGACATTGTCGCCTTGTGGAATGATGCTATTGTCCGACAGATCCTGCGGCGGCGCAAGATCCGATTAGAAGAAACACCCGGTTTGTGAGTATATTGAGTACTGCATATGGCACTGTGGGCTGAACAAACGCAGCTATTTGAATGACCTCGACCGGGTGACTTCTCTACAATACTACCCGTCTGACGGTGCGTAGCTTTGGGCTATTCTAGGCTCCATCTGTTCACGTAACATGCCAGACGACGTGCTGAGGGCGCGACTAAAGACAGTCGGTGTATCCGAATACAGCTTCCACATGGAAGCTGGTGACGAACGGGGCACTGAATGGCGTATCATTGACGTTGGCGGGTCACGTTCACAGGTCAGATACTTTCTCCTCTTTCTCCTTGCCGTATTGCTGACGTAGTCTGGATCAGCGGCGTGAGTAGCATGCATCGCCATCAATGTGCAGCATATGCTGATAACTATCCCCCAGCCACCTGGGTGCCCTTCTTTGACGATGGTTCGTGGGTCTCTACTACGCAGCGTAATCGATCTGTCTAACCTCTCGATGAACAGTGAATGGTAAGTCACTGCCGTGAGATCCATCTGGACAGAGAAACCGACAGAGTCACAGCCATCATCTTCCTCGCGCCAATATCGGCATTTGATCAGGTTCTCGCGGAAGACAGAAGCGTTAATCGACTTGTGCGTGTAGGTCATCAGTTCGATTGCCTTACATCTGACCATCTATCGGCAGGAGGACAGCGTGCTCTTGTGGAAGGAAGTCTGCTCGAACAAGATGCTGGCAAAGGTCGACCTTGTTCTCTTCCTCAACAAGTGCGATATCCTCGACTCCAAGCTCAAGTCCGGTGTCCGGCTCGCCAAGTACGTTCGGAGCTTCGGCGAGAGACCGAATGACCCTGAGGTAGCGCAGAAATGTAAGCACACACGTGTCGGTTGCGCACGGCAGACTTGACCTCGGCTTCCCCAGACTTCCGGAGCAAGTTCAGTGCTATCCACCGGGAACACTCGCCAATTCCACGCAAGTTCTATGGCTTTTGCACATCTGTAACGGTAAGCCGGTTACTCAGAATCCAAGCTGTACGAGGTTGCCAACAGTATCATACTCTTAGGACACAACTACCACTGGTGGCATCATCGCTGCCGGTACGTCGTCTCGTGGTTCATGGCTGCGCGCATGCTGACCGCGTCTCAATCTCTCAGTCAAGGATATGGTCCTTCGTGAGCACCTCCGCGCTTCCAAACTGCTGTAATGGCGCCACCTTCGCTCTCGTGCGTGCGTTTGCGCTAATTGGTGGCCCGCTCTGTGCGCCGACTCGATTGCGGGTGGCGTTGGTCCGCAGCAACACCTGAGAGGCTGCTCTCCTCTTCAAGCACCCCTGGCCGGTCCTCCGCCAAGCTCAGGCGCGAAAGTTACCTCACCCCTCTTCTTGTTACCCATGCACCCACAAACACCGCTCAGTGGTTCCTGGACCTTTCCCCAAGGGACCGAGCCCGACGGTGCCTGTCTTTCCGACGTCAAGAGACTGCACTCTCCTGGGGCCTGGGCGGTAACATTAAGCTACCTGCCAGGCACCCTCTCCTCATCCCCGCACTCCGCCCACCGTGTTTGCCTCGGATACCGCACCGAGACGCCGCCGACATATGGGTTTCCCTCGATCCCTCCCGCACTGCACGGCCAGTTCACGTACAACATGACTATCACGCTCCCCCCATTGTAAGACGCTTGTATTGTATCCCAGTCCCGTCATATGCCCTCAGCCTCGCTTCCGTTCTGCTCCACCCACCTGTCTGTCGACCCTGTTCTTGATCTTGTCGCTTATCATCCGCGCTGTTATGTTGTTGGTTATCTATCGCTCATCATCTTGGATCGGCTCATACATCCATACACAACCCCTGGATCTCCTCGCGCTCCTCGTTCTCGCACGCGCACGCGTCTGCAGTTAGTGCAGCACGTCATGTCAGCTCCGCATATCGCCAGTGTTTAGTGTTCACACCATCGCATCGGGTTGTCCAGTTCGTTGTTCGTTGTCCGTTCACCGTTATTAATGCCTCCTTCCCCGCTCACCCGCATACTTTGCCAGCTCGTGACACAGTTATATATCTCTTATTGGTATCGGCCAGAGCACCTCCCGCGCATTGTGTGCTGTCTGGACGTTTGGACGTAGTGTAGGGGCGTTGTATGGCATGTTGCGTTATCGGTACCCAGCCTCGTCAAGACCGTCGGAGATGCTGCCCAGGATCCGAGCAACGTAAGTCTCTGATTGTTAGTGTACTCGTCGAGTACTGTACATGTTCTCCCTATGTGCAATCACACTCACGCTTTTTTCCGTGTCGCATCTAGGTCGTCCCCTCACTGCACTCCTCGCTGCATGTACTTTGCCGCGGCGGTATGTGCGCGCAGCTGCACAGCGGCGTGTTTCAGGACACGCAGTTCTATTGGGCCCGAAACGCTGTGCCCAAGTCAACCCGCGCCGTCGCCGCTCGAGGGTTTGACAGATCCGGATGGTCGGAGGCTATGTACCTACGGAGCTCTCGCGGTTGGACCTTGAGCCTGAAGGGAATACGCGCGTACTGTTGCGTCCCTACTGCAAATTTGTCCCGCATACAAGCACAAGCCACATAGAAGATCAGGAAGACGGGACACTCATCACGGTGGGTCCATGTCGGCGCCCAGCGAGGGGCCCGAGTCGGAGTAAGGTTTGGGAGCACTGCACAGGATCCCGGGCGCGGTGGGGAGGCGGGGGCGCCGCGGACATCTAATGGCATCGAGCATCGGGCATCGGGTGAGTATCAGTACTTTATCAGTATTATACTGACGAGTCTATCATTCTTGCTTAACGTTGTTGCGCGCGTTGCCGGCGGTGGTGTTCGTCGGGTGAGATACTGGGGCTTGGCCCTTGGGTACATGTCATCCTGTCAGTAGGGTGAGAGTCGCGGCAACCGTTTACGAGTATGACGGTTGATCCATACTCGTCGGCGGAAGCAGCATGCGCAGCTGTGATACGCAACCTGAAAATGGCGGGCTGAG